GAAATTTTAGCGGCCTTTCTTTCTTTTATAATATATGTCAAAATCTGTCTAAACGACTGCTTTGCTATCCTTTCTCTTTCTAGGTAATATTTAGAAAGTCTGGGCTTTTCTTTTACTTTCAAGTCCTTTTTGCTTTTCAACACTTATGTATTTGTTATCAGTTCTAGCTTTTGTTTCTGTTTAGCTTCCTGTAATTTAAAGTACTCATACTTTCTAGCAGTTCGTATTCTTTCAAGGGTTTTTAGCTCACCTGCCCGAAGGGCAAGTGAGCTTATGTTATGGTGCGGCATCCGTCGTCCGTCCGTCCGTCGTCCGTCTGTCTGGCGTCAACTTTTTGCTTTAAACAACTTCTTCTCAATAAACAACTTCTTCTCAATAACCAAAAGGCCTAGGAAGATGATATTTGGCCAGTAGCATGCTGGGATCCAGGGCTACCATGTCTGTTCAAATAAATGACCTTGACCCAGTTTCAAGGTCACAGGGGTCAAAAATGTTAAAATCTGCAAACAACTTCTTCTCAATAACCAAAAGGCCCAGGGTACTGATATCGGGCCTGTAGCATGCTGGGATGAAGGGCTACCAAGTTTGTTCAAATGAATGACCTTGACCAACTTCCAAGGTCACAGGGGTTGAAATATGTTAGAAATCTTCAAACAACTTCTTCTCAATGACCAAAAGGCCCAGGGTACTGATATTAGGGTTGTAGCATGCTGGGACAAAGGGCTACCAAGTTTGTTCAAATGAATGACCTTGACCAAAAGGTCATTTGGGTCAGATGTCTTTAAAATCTTCAAACAACTTCTTCTCAATACCCAAAAGGCCCAGGGTACTGATATTGGGCCTGTAGCATGCTGGGATGAAGAACTATCAAGTTTGTTCAACTGAATGACCTTGACCAACTTTCAAGGTCACAGGGTCAAATGTCGTAAAATCTTCAAGCGACATAAGGGCCAGGGTACTGAAATTGGACCTGTAGCATACTGGGATGAAGGACTACCATGTTAGTTCAAATGAATGACCTTGATCCACTTTCAACCAAATGTCCTTGTTCAACAATCAAGGTCAGAGGCGTCATATGTTTAAATCTTTTAATAGGTTCTTATGAAATCTTAAGATTACAAGTGTTAGATTAATAACAGGTGAGCGATGCAGGCCCATGGGGCCTCTTGTTCTTTCACATTTTCGAAAGTTTTCATCAGAACTCTCTTTTTGTTTAATGTTTGGTTCCTTTAATTTAAACTTTTCATTTGTTTTACATTCTAGTGTTTTTTGGTTTTCTTATGTTCTGTACATTTCATTTAATCTCTGCTTGCGTTTGTTTTCTCCGTTGTATTCTCTTTGTTTTTCCTTGTCAATATCTTCATTTTTTCTTCCCTATGATTTGATGCCTTGACTTTCTTCAGATTCATGTCCTTTTGATTTATGAAATACTTTTGGAGAAGTTAAATATTTTTTTATTTTTTTTTAATCTTTCACAAATTCAGATGATGCTGGAGGTCGCTTGCTGTAATTCAGGAGTATTTCTCACAAGAGGTTGAAAGAATAAATTATAATGCTTAAACAAGATATACAAGGCAACTGATAATAGTTTAATATCGCTGCTTAATCTCTATTAAGGTTTTGATGACTTCAAAAGAATTTATATTCAGAATAACCTGCATATAGTTTACCTGTAATTTGACAATTTATGCCCCTCATTTTATTGAAGAAAACTTGGCAGGAATAGTTATACCCTCCGCAACGTAGTTAGGTAGGGTATACTGGAATCAGGTTGTCGTCCGTCTTTCTGTCTGTAGACATCTTGCTCTAACCTGTGAACCGATTTTGATGAAATTTCATAGGAATATTAAGGACCATATATGTAGATGTGCATGCAATGTTGTTTTCTTCAAAATTTTGGTTGCTATGGTAACTGGTCACTATAAACAGGTTTATCTTTAAAATCCATAACACCTCAGTTATTCAACCGATTTAATTCAGCCTTGATCAAATGGTGTAACTAAACAAAGCCTATAGTTTGACGTATTATATGTTTCCAAAACCATTACCATGGCAACACAATCCAGGTCTCTGATTTGACGACATTTAGATATTTGTCCGATTTCAACTAATTCTGTATGTCAATGTTTGTATGTAATGGGATGCCAAACTTTACTTTATATGTGTTTTTTTCCATAGGAACTATATACCAAAGCAACCAGTGGCTTCTGATTAGTCGAAATTCGGTTAATATCTTATATCTATCTACCAAATTTGGTATTGTATGTAATAGGGGATGCCAAACCTCGCTGTATAGATTTTTGTTATGCAACCGTATCCAGGCAAATAGCGGTCTCTGATTGGTCAAAATTTAGATACTGTCCGATTTCGACCAAATTTGGTATAGACATGGGCCATAACTCTGAAATGTTTGAGATCCCCAACCTATAGTCATGTAAATCATTGCCAGGCATAAAGATCCAGGTGAACAATACAGGCTATGTGGTCCTCCTTTTACTAGAGTTATGCCCCTAGATATTTCTTAGATTTTTATTCCTGTTTCCAGTCCCTACAGGAAGCAACTAGCAGCGGTATGCGGGGGTATTAGTTTGCCCCTAGGCGACAGTTTTAACTAATACTAGCTACATTTGATTATGATTTTGTTTTGTTTAGGTCTACCACACAAAAACAAAATCAACCACCTCGATATCTGGGACACAGATATAATATATCTTTGCCATAAAGTCCAGAATATTTCGCCTGGAATATCCTGATTACGAAGGAAGTATGAAGGAGGAGCAGAATATGGCAGAGGAGGAGTAGCCAAATATGGAAGAGGAGGAGCAGATAAATTTGGAGGAGGATTGGGCGATTATGAAGGAGCACAGGATTAGATGACATCATGGATATGGAGGATCATCAGCAACGGCATATTATTGAAATGGAGGAAGATGAAGGCAGTGATGAGGATAAGAATGATGATATGGAAGATGACTGGGTTTCCCATTCTTAAACTGATTCAGGTTATCAGAATTGGAATTCTGAAGGATATTGTGAAACTAAACATCAGGACTAGTGGGTTTCAGATTCGGAAGTTGATAGAAGTGAAAAGGCTCCTTGTGATGGTGACAGTCAGATGTCTTCTGTTATGCCTAACAATAGTTCCCTACAACAACATATCATCATGCAGCTGTCAAACAGTAAGGATATAAAGACACAAAAGTTTCAATGCTGGGTTTTTTATGATAAGATGTTTCCGAGAATATAGCGGCACTATGAACAGGTCCATTCACATGAGGCTCAGGTTGCCAAAATTCTTATGTTGGCAAAAAAATCGAAAGAAAGGCATTGTGGGCTCAATTAGTCGACAAAGAGAACTACCACCACAACTATCAGGTGCTTCAATCAAGTATGGCGTGATTATACCCAAATACAGAGCAAGAAAAAAACAAGAAAATGAACATCTACGATATGTTCCTTGTGAACTTTGTCTAGGTACATATCTGAGCACAGACTTGAAGAAACATCAAAAGGCCTACACAGTGTTCAATGGAAAAATGTTGCTTCAAACTACTGGATCAGACAAGAACCTTTATGACAATATTCTTGTGAAAATGCGAGATGATTCCATCAAACATGCTGCCCAGACGGATCAGTTGATTTTATCACTAGGCACCAGATTATATGACAAAAAATGGGCAACATGTCCATCAGCACCAGTATATTATACGAAGGTTTAGAGAATTTGGAAGACTACTGATTCAGATGACAGAAAAAAAACGTTTTACTTCAACCTACTCTGCAACTTGCATCTTACACTGTAACTGGAATGCACTGATAGATGCAGTCAAATTAGTTTCTGGATACGACGAAGAAAATGATAATTGTCGTTGTGTAAAAAGAGAGAAAAATGATATTGATATATCTAACAGTGATGACTTAACACTCCTTAAATTTATCTTTTACAAAACCATTATAAAAAGTGAGAGTTTTGTGTTTTAAACAAATAAGTAGTTGGAATTAAGAAATCAAGAAAACTGGAAGCATCGTCATACATTTGTTCTGTTAAAACTTCCTCATCTTGTCCTCGTGTTAACTCCATTCAAAAGAATACGTTTAAAATTAAAAACTTATATTATTCATTGTAATCTTCACATCAGTATGCTTATTTACTTTTAAAGGTGTTTTCGTCAAAAGTGTCGGCTTTAAGAAGGAAACAATACTATTACGCTGAATAGGCGGTGGCTGCGTCGATTCCGATGGGTGGACAGCCATTGCGTTGCTTAGCCCCTTCTGTTGTGGATTTTCTCCTAATGGGCCAGTCAAATCCGACACTCGAGGAAGTCACCAATTATGAAATCCGTGATGCCTTAAAATGCAATTAGCAGTAATGTAATGATTTAGAAAAGCAATTCTAGATAAGACTCGGATACTATCATTTCATGTAATGTGTGTTTATTTCATATTATATTAACATTATATCATCACAATATCATATATGTTATAGTGTAGTGTCCAATAATTTCTCACATGCACAGTGTTAACCTGCTAAGGGCTACCACTCGGCTATTTTCGGAACAGATTTGTTATACGTGGAACAATCTAATTAAGCAAACAATTTTGAACACTGGTGTTTGTTAGGTTACTGAGCTATTTAACAGACTTCGAAAAAACAAAGGAACTTGAAAATGACAAAATACGTCAACCTTCATTTATTTTTTGATAAAAGTTAAATGAAATAAATCAAGCTATTTATACTTATCAAAATGCCTTTTTCACTATTGCATACATTTTGCGTTGAACTTTTTTCTTGTAGTAGCCAGGTGCACCACGTCATCATGACGACCATGAAATCAATCTGCAATCGCTTTTCGGATTCATAACTGGACTATGGAGATTGCCCGCTTTCGGAATGAGTGGAGTACATGTCTACTTTGACCACTATGACACTGAAGGGAGCCACCCTACAAGCAAACGCTATTGGCTGCAGTGAAACCCTCCCTGTTTATGAATCTGTCAGAGACAAGAACATATTCAATTCCAAATTTGACATTGCAATTTTGTATGCTGGAGGAATGCATTTTTTGTAACTGATTGATTTACTCAACTGATTGATGCTACTATCTTCCTTGGCCTATCTACATGTTTTATTTGGCGTCAGGTATAAGCATATCACTTCCACGTTTGAGAAAAGAAGAAAAAAAACGCTTTATTTACGACTAAAGAGTGCCCGTAAAATCCATCTTCTGTACTGAATAAAGGTCATATATCAAAGGCTGTTTTGGGATAACATCACAAAATAATTTCCTGGTCTAAAATATGTATACGTTTATACGTTATTAAAAGGAAATTTAAAACGGGTTTGGGAAACGAAATGTTTGGGAAACGAAAACTACTTTGGAAGAATAGCTGTATGTAGAAGTTATCGTTATATGCATCACTCTGTATCGCACGCATTTTTCAATCTTAACAATGACTATTATGATACAGTTTTGCATTTCACTATCATCAGTAGGTCTATTTGTTGTAGTATCGTTACTGCTTGTATACATTCTATAACTACTTGTTAACTTGGTATGGTGCGTACATAGTCATTTCCTCACCCAATAGGTATGGACTAGCTATCATGGAAAATTAAAACGGAAAAAATAACCCCACGAACACAATAGTCTAGTTTCACATTCGTAAATAACCACGGCAATTCAGAGTTATTTCCCTTGAAAATTACGATAATGAGGCTCAGGGTACTTCCGGTGGTATCCAATGTCAATAATGACGGCGCCAAAGAATTCAATCTTTCATCTTGGAGTCGACGATTTCCGTCAGCTTAGAGTAGTTGATCTGAAGGAAATTTTGCGAGACCATAACGAAAGCATCACTGGGAACAAGTCTGTGCTAGTGGCAAGGTGTCTGTCGGTAAAAACGAAGCTTGCTATTGATGTACCCGATGCTGACACAGCCTCGAGTGACCCGTTTACATTTGGTACTGACGATAAGGAAATTACATACAAACAGTTGAATTTGTCCGCTAAAGCTCGCATATGGAGTGATGACTTGAGAAATATGGTCGAATTTAATTTCAACCAACTTCATGAATATTTGGTTACACGCACCAACAAATATGACGACCCCTCAATGAAAGGTTCCTGCTACAAAAAGTTAAAATCTAACCAATTTTTCATGGAAGGGCACGTATCGAATGTTGAAGTCGCGAGGGGGCAAGGACATACGTGGATAAAATCAAAGGTCATTGCCTCAATGAAGAAGACTAAATACAATGTGATGGTTGTTTTCCATAGCAATGGGGATGTGAGGTATGCAGCATGTGGATGTCCTGCTGGGTAAGTCACTGATATTCAGCTATGACGTCACTGAGTGATATTCAGCTATGCTATTTATTATTCTGTCCTAAAATTGAAGCCAGTGACTTCCATCACACAGGGTATGTTATTTATTTATTTATTTATTTACACAGTCAGGCTATCGTGCGACACCAAATAACATCTCTAATTTAGTTTGGCAGTGTTATTTTAACACTTCATTCTTCTGGAATATATCAATACGTTCCTTATCTGTATTGTATAATATAACTAGCAATGGCATTGTTATGTATGTTATCCCTCTACAGTACTATTTATTAGTGGAAAAAAAAATCTTTATTATATTTACAATAGTGTATACATTTTTTAAATTATTTATATTTTGTTTTTAACAGATTAGGTATGAATGGACATGGTAAATGCAACCACATTGGTGGAGTACTCTTTGCGGTCAACAGTGTTTATGCCAATGGCTTACATTCTAACACGGCCAAGGTATCATGTACAAGTAAGCTGAATGGTTGGATTGTCCCCCGAAACCTTACTGTACCCCCAAAACCTGTCAAAAGAAATAAAAATTGAGAAAATACAATTCGATTATCAAAAACATTTAATCAGAGTAGTGTGTTTGATCCTAGAGCTTCCCAACACAGAACATCGGATAACAATGATTTGGATATTTTGCATACAAACCTGAAAGAGTTTGCTCCCTTCTCAGGTTACTTATTGTTCCATGAAGAACCAGCTGGAGTACCTACCGACACTTGTCTAGAATGTGCTGATTTTGTTGACACCATTGAAAGTGTTGATGTTTGTGAGGATGTGTATATTGAAACTGAACAGGTTATTTTAAATGTAGAAGTATATGTAGATGCTCCAGAGAATATAGTGAATGTACCAAATATTGATTTTGTAAAAGAAAATTCCAATATCGTTGATGATGAAAACATAAATGCAGATTTTGTAGCTAAATATCTGAACAGCACTGTTGAAAATGAAACCATTACACAGGAGGATATAAATAACATTGAATCAGCTGCAAAACTTCAATCAGAGAATGACCTGTGGAAGCAATTACATGGATGTAAAATGACGGCATCAAATTTTGGTAGGATTGTCAAATGTTCCAGATGTCCAAATGGATTGGTAAAAGCAATGTTATATGACAAACCATCGTCAAAATATCTTCAGTATGGCAAAGACCACGAACAAGATGCAATTAATATGTATACTAAACTCTGTTCCACTCGACATGAAAATATCCAGGTTGAAAAGTCTGGTATTTTTATGTCGACAGAAAGGCCGGGTTATGGTGCCAGTCTTGATGGCATTGTGAAACATAGCGATGGAAGACGCACAGGTCTGGAATGTAAATGCCCACTCAGTCAGCGTGGCAAGTCTATAGAAGAGGCTTGTAAGTGTAAAACATTTTATTTATATAAAGATGAAAATGGAGATATAAAACTTAAAAAAAATCATAACTACTTCATTCAAATCTAGGGACAGCTATTTGCGACAAAAATGATGTAGACTTTGTGGTGTGGTTTGGACCTGATCAGGACATCTTCACTGAACGAATTGTATTTGACGAGGAAAAGTGGTATAGTATGTACCTCCCTGCCCTGGACTTCTTCTACAAGTGGGCGTTTATTCCTGAACTATTAACGGGGCGAGTCAAGAAAGGCATGCTTCTCCATTCTAACTGGAGTTCTTTAAAAAATATGTATTTGCAAATATAAACAAATTAACAAATGCATACATGATTGTGTACTTATTACGTAACAGTGTTCAAAGTTGAAAATAAGACCGAAATACCCATATTGACACAAACAAAAATTTTGTTTTCGCTTTCTTTCAGTACCGTCACTACCGACACACATTTTTTGGGGCTACATACGTACATTTTTTCCAAACCAAAAATATATTACAAAATATAATAATTTTCGACTTATACTGACCATATTCTTTTTAGGGCCGAAAGCGAAAACACAACTTTTTTTTTATTATTTTGCCTACCTACTGTAAGTAAATGTGCAAGAAGGCTACAACCGACTCTTTAATGTACGAATTGTCCATTTATCGGCTTATTTAAGGTGCAGATATAGGAAAACCAAGATAAACAGGTAAATTTTAGGAACATAATTTATTCCGATTTTTTTTTATAGTGTGCTTTGACAAACATAAACCAGGCATGTACATTACACATGCTCACGTACAGCTTTGTAGACCTAACAAAGCGAACATGTGGATACAGATTAAATAAAACATTTGGTTGATCTGTCTGTATAACAATTATACAAAGAAGTATGTGTCACTGTTTGCCCTGTCCACACTCTGAGTTGCATGGCCAAGTCATATATATACAGTACATATGGCCGATCGGTCAATTTGAGTTGACTAAAGGTAGAGAGTCCCACTACTTTTCTTCAATTTTCTAATGTTTTTAATTTTACTATCTAGGCATTAGACAGCTATATGTTCCTGTAAATTTATGTTATTTTTTTCATGCTATAATTATAGGTCACAGTATATATATATATATATATATATATAAGTAAGTAAAGAATATTTAATTTTTTCACAGTAATGCTGCAGAAATTAATACCATGACCGGTAGCTCAATCGTAAAGGCAGCTTCCTGATCAATTTATAGGTTAACCAGCTTTTACTAGACAACATGTACACAGAGCAGTGGGACTCTCTACCTTAGGGTCTCTGATTTCTCATTCTGAACTTTTTCCTGGAGCAAGAAATTGGTAAGGAATGCTACGACAAAGAACATCTGACTACTGATGTGCTTCAGGCTAAGTGGCAATACTCCATCCAATATATGATAGTTTTTTATCCTTCCAATGGCACGCTCAACGTGGATTCGAACTGAGGCAATGTTCATCGTATCATCCACCTCCTTAGATGAAAGCTGTTTTCTAGATCCCTTGAATGGCGGTATGTTAAGAGCAACTCCTGCTGGTAGAATGTCTGCGATTTCAAATCCCCGGTCTGCCATAACATTATCACCGGGTTTCCAACAGATTCAAAACACCACTTTCTTTGGTAATTGTTTTGTCCGACACTCGACCCCTTAGATTCTTATTCAAATCTTCGACAATAACATTGGACGCATCCAGTTTATCTTTTTAGATTTTATGTTATTGTTAAGGGATTCCATTTCGGCACTTATTCCAGTTTTGCACGTCCAATATACATGATCAGAGCTTTCATGACTAATCTCATTCCAGTCTGTTTGTGTTCCCTGATTTACCGTCACATTGCAGTTGTCATCAGTCTGAACTCCTACACCGGACTCTGCCATCACACAGATGTCACCTGATTCCTGAAAAACAAGCATAAAAAACACACACTTAATATAATATATTGTGTATGAAAATGGGTAGTAGCGGGCACAGCGACAGCTAGATGTCATAATATAACTTGACTCATGCTTTAATAATTTTATGCTTGATATTGGACAATGATGTCAAAATTATATACCTCTTGATTGATGGAAAGGGTAAATTTACCAAGTTTCAGTCCAATTGTATGTGATTAACTTGGTCAAAAACTGGTCTTTAACGCAAATTCTCAAAATCCACCAAAATTCTGGGGTTTTGACCCAAAAATACAGGAACCTGGTAAAATATTTTCTCCAAACAGTATGTAAAGTAATATTAAATATGTACAGTATTAACTATTCAATATATATATGCTAATTAACATGCTTAGTAATTAACTGTACATTTAAGCTAGATTAATAAACAGTGAGTACTGAGTAGATATCAATTCATGAATTATTATTCTTGACGGTTCATCAACTCACTTCAAAAAATTATATTACAGATGATGAGCGAGAGCGACGTCCCAGCCGGTGACGGTAACGAAGCTGTAGGCGGTAATACACACGATACAGTCAAAGAAACTTTTGATTTATTTAAGAATTACCTGAGTACACAGCTGGTGAATTTCAAACGCGATATTACTCCGTCCAATGAGATATCATCAGAGAAAGCTGCAAAAAAACTTAAAGATGACGCTAGCCAAGAAAGTAGCAAATGTTCACACTTTATCTGTCAAATTGTGGATATTTGTTATGTTTAAGACATTAAATATTATCTACCATGATCATTCAAACTGCATTCCTATCTCTTGTAAACATTTAGTGTTGTAATAGCTGAGGAGATTATTAAGACTAACTGGTATCGGCAGTCAGAGCTAGTTTTACATTTAGATTTTCTTAACTTTTTAATTTGTAGAATATGCCAGAAGATTTGAAAAAGCAGTTGTAACATTTGGGTGGCTTTTTGACAGTCGTTGTACGTGGACTATCAAAAATACTGATTCATATACCGTGACACCTTTCAACAGTTGCTCTGATGAGGGTTCTACTCCACCATGTTTACAGGATTCCGACTCTGTTGACCCATTATATGAGCCATCTGATACTGAAACAGATGAAGAGTAGGTATTCTTGTTGTATTCATCAATTCATTCATGTTTGTAGGTTTAAGGATTTTAACTCTGTTGATAGGACGTTATACTACAGCTCAAAAAAGTCCTAGCGTACGATACGAGAATATAACTTTCACGCACTAGTGTACTGTGAGTGCTTTAAATAGAACGTAAACAAACAGACAATATATGGCTGTTCTCATTTTGGGAGGTTCGCATTGATAGGCGCATTGAAGATTTTGTGCATCGTAACGGTTGTCTGATTTCCAGATAGCATTTTCGTGGTATTAGGGGTGGACGTACTTACCAGCAACAACATTTATTTCGTTTTCGATATGAGATTGAACAACAACGACCCACCCACATTATTGTTCTTGTAGGAGGAAATGATATGGATTTTACCACTGCCATAAAAGAGACAATTTTGCAAATTCTTACTTTTCTGACGATGTGTAAGAACAATTTCTCAGTGGCGAAATTAACTGTGCTACTGTACCCCGGTTATCAACTAGAAGTGTTCCTGTCTCAGACTATCAGGATAAAGTGAGGGCAGCAAACCTGTTTTTGAAAAACCTAATTTCTGAACTGCCCCATTTCCTGTATTGGAAACTTCGGGGAATGAAAGAAGGACATGACACATTGTGTGCAGATGGTGTACATTTTTCAGACCATGGGCCAATGGAAGTATTTTAAAAACATTTAAGCATCTATCCTCAAACAATTTAACAGTTTGAATTTATAATGATTATCTGATTTCATAAACTGGTTGTGTCAAGCTAGTTTACATGTGTTGTGTATAAGCGTATTGCAGTCAGATCCGGATGCATACTGCTCCGGTTATTAGTATGTACCTGAAATGATTGTGGGAAACCGCACTGTAATAAACCGCCATTAAGCACATGGTTGTTATGTCTGGCCACAGAACATTACAACATGTGGACTCACTCCAGCAACTTGACCTGTGTTAATGTTTTAAAGCTTGGGGGTTACCATTCAGGTTATATTTCAACTCGGTATGTTTTATATACATGTATTTATGTCAACATATATATTTGTTTGTTTGTTTGTTTGATTTTGTTTAACGTCCTATTAACAGCTAAGGTCATTTAAGGACGGCCTCCCCTGTGTGCAAGATGCATGCGTGTAGTGTA